GCGTCGTGTGCCCACTGGGATAAAGTAAAGAAATATCGGGACTAAGCCTGAAGCCTAACCCACAAAATGACAGCACAGTCAGTGTGTGTTGACTTCACACACAGAACTTGTACACCGTACCCATGGACTATACGTGCAGCAAAGTGACGCCGGCGTAACAAGCCAATGATCGTGTAGCACCTCACCAGACAAAAGGAAGCATGCATTTGATACAGCTGGATGAATGAAACAACTTGCCCTGCCCCAAAAGTGCAGTTCTAAATATGCAATAAATTACATAACCACTACAAAAAAAGCAACACTCAGGCCGTGTCCGAAACGGGCTTCCAGAGCTACGGCTAGGTCTATTGTCTACGCATCTCCACGCATTTCCAATGGAGCGAAGACCTAGACCTAGCTCTAGACGAGATTTGGATGCAGCCTCAAATTTACAAAGAAGAGCTACATTCCCATAGTACCACAGGTTATAAGATACATGGTGAGAGAGGGCGCACTTCAACTAGAGGGCGCACTTTAAAGAACACACACAAGGTCAGGGACCATTGACGACCGCCGACTAGTCAAACCGGTAACGAGACAGACACACGTATGTGCGATTTTCACAGAATTGGTGTCAAAAAGACCACAAAAATGTTACTGAAAAACTCCTGAAGGCTCCACTTACTGTGGCGACATCAGAAATCCTGAGGGGGCCGATTCTATCTACTCCCTGGTTCTTTTAGGGTCAGTTGAGCACACACAATTAACTGCACAACGGTGACTGTCAAGTTGTCAAACCTGAAAGTGATTTGGTTCAGGTAATATCTTAGGACCCCTACTGGCTTGAGTGTCTATATTTGAAATCTTCAATACTGCCTTGATGTTACTTTGTGCATGTGTCTGTGACATCAATGTACGGCCTTAACATCATCTTCAATACTTGAAAAGACAACTTACAGTCACTGCAGAAGACAGACTTCTCCTGGATGGACAGCACGTTTCTTCCACTCTCACTACCATCTCTGCTTCTATCCACTTGCCAACAATTGCCCTAACAATGACAAAAAAGTCAACTGGACTGGAGAAATAGAAAGGCCTCATTTCTGTCAATTAAACTGAACGATTCCACAGCCATTTTCATAATTAAAACAAGCACAATATACAATGCTAAGGGGCAGGGTTGTTTGGCTGGAAACCCTGCCCAAGGCCAAACTGCCTGGCAGTCTGTGGTTGCCAGCCACCACAAGATCCAACAGTGGAATTGTTCAATGGGACTATAGCTCCTATTGTTTTAACATGACCAGTTTGTTGGGCTGCTGTTGATTGCCCACAGTGCATCAAAACGTGTGTTCCCATTGGACTTTTTTGGTTAACTTACCACAACTTTCCTGTAGAATTACACAATTAAATCCAATGGGAACACACGGTAAACTAATGTCCCTGTCCTTTTACCGTGATTGCGATGTAGAACAGACCAAAAAGGGTCGCGAAAGATTTCTGCGCAGCCACTGTAAGTTAGCAGGGGTGCAAAAAGTCCAATGGGAACAGTTCCCAAACAATGTAGATTGACCTCGATCACGCTAAACATACGAACCAGACTACTGCCTACACAGAGAAAATAGTTGTATGGTATCCAGCCTCCAGCTCCATGTGTACAGTACAGCAGCATGCCACGCACACACAGTGAGGCGTGCCCGGATAAAGCTATACCCACATTGTATGGTACAGGGCTTTTCCTGTACAAGTTTGTTGACTTTGTGGCAGATTTGGCCAAATTTGTCTGATTTTATCTTTTTTTGGTCAGATTTGGCCGATTTCATCATAATTTGTGCACTGCAGGCAATGTAATCAGCTGGTCTTATTAGGCCTAACAGTCCCATTACAGTTAAAAACTCCAAGCGGGAATGCGCGGTAGATTGACATGAAGGAATGTCGCGGTAAGTTTCCGCATGCCTGCGCAAGAAAAAGTCCAATTAATGGGAACACAGCTATAGTGCATCAGACTTTTACATCTGCTGCAGTATGCCGCATCTGGTGGAGTTAGGGTCAAGGTCAGTATTTGCAAAGTGATACATGCAGTTTTCACCTTTTTTTAAACTCCTCTTCTAAAGGTTGTAGACTGCTTGCCCTCTTTGATTCCACGATCTGACCGTCTTGCTTGGACCTCCATCACTGTTCCAAGAGCAGCTATTGTGACAATAAGGGGCTTGATCTGTGAAATTAAAATGATCATAAAATGATTTAAAACTAATTCACCCATTTATAATAAAAAATTTCTTTTTACAAGACAAATATTCATTTTGATGTTGTTATTTTTAAGGAGCTGCCAAAAAAAGTTCAAAGATTCAAAATTGTAGCTTTTGTCAGTAAATTTTGGGGGAAATTATACCCCAAGACAGGTTTACAGTTGGTCATGTTCTCAGCCAAAAAATATTTCTCATCATGTCTACAAAGTGCAGAACATCCGGCACGGTGCAGTGACTGCAGTCTCTTTCGTTTTTAATTTAGTTCTGTCAGACAAGAGAAATTAACACAGAACCGTACTTTTTTTTGATAGCTGCACCAAGTGGCAACTTCAATGTTATTTTAAATAAGGAAAGATTTCAGCTGAAGCAGGTACATTATTTAATTTATTCAAGTTGGCGACTTCACACTGATGAGTATACAGCGTGTTTACATTGCCATGTTTCGCCGGACCATATGCGAATCTTTAAAAAGGCAATTCGTAGAGTGTAAGTTGCTCAGACTATTATTAACTGATCTACATCATCCTGATGCAGCCGCGTCAAATATCATTTCAGGCATTCAAATATGCACAGGATGCTAAAGTGAAGTTGAGCTAGCACTCAGAAAAATTTATTTCTGACCTTGTTGGGCTCATGGGACACCCTAGTATGACAGCCGCACATGAGCACATCATCACACCCAACGACTTGCTTGGGAGGGATAAACAATTTGCAAGATGTGCGCAAAATCTAAGTGGGCATATAAGTTACTCATGTCATTATCACAGAAATGGACCATGTACATGCATGTACTGTAGGCATGCCTAGTGTTGATGCTACATGCAGTCTCACTCCTACTCCTAGGAGTGGTCTCAACGCGGTCCTTTCCTTTCTCCATGGTCTGGATCTGGATAAATACTCTGAACAGCTCTAAATGAGCATCCCTCAGAACTGAACTGGGGGGTCATTCATTTCAGCTGTAGACGGTTTTCCTGTGCTGTTTTGAAGCTAGATAACTTCTCCGTAAAAGTCACGTGTTTTGGCAACTTATTCCAATCTCTTGCCATCTTAGGAAAGAACGAAGATGGGATTGTGACACAGACTGTGGGATGACAAGCTGATTTGTCTTGCAGCTCCTTGTGTACATTCGTGTGTGAGCTGATGGAAGTTCTTGCAAATCAAGGTAATCTCTTATGTCGAGGTCAACTCTGTGATGAATGACCTTGTGCAGCATGACAAAGCTGCTGTACCGTCTTCTCTGATGTAGGAGGGGAAGTTTGAGCTTTTTTAACATTGCTGTAACCAAGCTGGTCCTACTATAATCTTGAATAACAAGTACGCACCGCCCTGCGCTGGACAGCCTCGATCTTGTCAATGTTTTTCTCTGTATGCGGAGCCCATACAGAGCTACAATACTCAAGGTGGGGTCGAACCACCCTCTTGAAAGCCTGGGCTTTTACATGAACTGGGGCATTACTCAGGTTTCTATGAAGGAACCCGATGACACTATTGGCTTTCGCTGTGACAATATGTATATGCTGATTCCATTTCATGTCAGATGAAAGGATAAAACTAGGTATTTATGATGGTTTGATCCTGATAGCTTATGACCAGATAGTGAAGAACTGTAATGAGTTGGAGACCGTTTTCTTGTGAACCGACTGATGCTACATTTCTCGGGTTGGAAGCTCATCCGCCAGGTCCTTTCCCATTTTTCTACCTTATGGAGGTCTTTCTGGAGGGCAAGGCAGTCTTTTCTATCTTCAATAGAGCGATAGATTAAGCAATCATCTGCAAACAGGCAAAACTTGGAAGAGATGCCATCTGGAAGGTTGCTTATGTAACATAGGAACAGGAGTGGCCCCAGCACTGTGCCCTGTGGAACACCTGAGGCTATATGGAATGGTTTGGACGATTTACCCTGAACAACAGTTTGTTCACATTTTGTGAGAAAATCTGATTCCCATCAGGTGAGCAGTGAGCCACGCAGACCATAAAATTTCATCATGTGAAGCAATTGTCTGTGGGGAACTGTATCAAATGCCTTTGCGAAATCTAGAATGACGGCATCTACATGTACTTGCTTTGCACCGCTAAAAACATGATGAATGGTAGATAATAGTTGGTTTTCGCAGGAGCGACGTGACCTGAAACCATGCTGGTGGTCGTTCAGGATATTCAATCTCTCAAGATGATTCATAACATGACGGTAAAAGAGTTTTCTAATAACTTGCAGATCACTGATGTGAGCGAAACTGGTCTGTAGTTGGCTGGGTCTGTCCTGCTACGCTTTTTATTTAAAGTAGATACATTAGCACACCGCCAGTCCCTTGGAAGCTTCCCAGTTGTGATGCTTTGTATGAACAGGATCTAAAGCATTGGAGCAATCTCTTCTGCACACATTTTCAGCACATGCACGGGGGCTGATTTCATCTGGTCCAGGGGCTTTATTGACATTTGAGTTCTTTTAGAAGCTATGTAATACCATGCAAGCTAATTGTGAGATTTGGCACTTCTGGAAATGGACTCCTCGCAACAGATGGGATATGACAGGTGTCTTCCATGGTGAAGACTGACCCATAGTGTTTACTAAGTACCTCGGCTTTGCTGGATGCATCGCTCTCCAATGAACCTTGGCTCCAAAGTGCTGTGATACCACGTGTCCCGTCTGCAGTGTTTGATGAAGGACCAAAACTTCTTGACATTTATCTGTAGTGACTTAAAGATAGTTGAGGAGAGATACTCTTGTTCAGCCTTCTGTGAGTCACATTGGGACTTGTTTCCCGAGTGCTTTGTACCGTTTCCATAGTAGATCGGTGTTGGATGATTTTGCAGCACAGAAGGCCCTATTCTTTCGTCTCAGTCATTTGACTGATCTGGTTAGCCAAGGAAGACTGAATCTTGAAAACTTCAGCAAAGAGGGCACATGTTCATCAACTGAATCTCGTAGACCTCTCACAAAACTCTGCCAGTTTTCATTGATTAATAATTGGATGCATTTATTTTCTAAACTGGTTTAAGCTTTCCTTTAGGCCATCCCTGTCTGCTTTGTGCCAATGATAAATCCGCCTTCTCTCACAACTCTGGGCACATGATCTAGCTTCAGCATCTGCGATGACTTTGAAATGATCTGAAATACCAGGCTCGGTCTTGACGGGATGGAAGCAGCATGGATTTGGAACACAAAACAGGTGGAGATATTCTGCACATTATGTGACCTTGTTTGCTGATTATGAAGAGGCTCATGTGCGAGTTGAACAAGAGAAAAATCAAGTACATTCAGGAGCTCAGTAGTGAATCCAGCTGGGTAGTTGCATTCAGAGCTGAACTTTCGGCAAGTACTTCCCAGTTGACTTCTGGTACATTAAAATCACCCCCAATCCAATCTGTAGGGTTCTTCCAGTCCAGTTTTTCCAGTGAATTTCGGAGTTTTTGGATACGATCAGATCCTTGGTTAGCCTTGATTAGGAGGGCAGTAAAAACAGCAAATGTAAATTGGCTTGGAGTTGGCCATCTAGATAGAAATTTAAACCCACACCAACTCTGCCTCTACTGCGATCACATCTTTTCTTACAGCAATTAAGACACCACCTCCCATTTTCCCATCCCTATCTTTCCTGTAGATTGTATAGTTATTTGGAATGCATTCATTATCATTAATACGAGGTTTAAGCTACAACTCTGTCACTAAGATGATACGGGGATTGGAATCCTTTACCGTCTCTGCAAATGGCCCTTTCTTCCCAAGAAGGCTATGACAGTTTGTGATCATAACACGCATACGTTGGTGTTAATTTTGGAAGCTGTTTGCTTTGGGAGTTTACTGGCTGATTTAGGTAGGGATGCCGAAGGAGAGGCATGTCCATAATAAACTGGAGGGATCAGCAAGAATCTGATATATGTCCTCACTCATGGGGATACACTTGCGGTGCACCCACACGTTACAGTTATCACAACATATACACGTACCATCCAGGCCATATTTGACAGCTTTGTTGCAGATACCACATGAATACTGGTTCCAGGGTTAGGATGAACATCACCAGATGAGGATAACATCACACATACTTGCAACATCATTGACAGCTTACATGGGGATGATATGGAGTTATGTTTTATCAAAAGGTTTAAGTGCACAGTGATGTGTGTGTAACTTGGGGAAAGAATGTCACATCCCACAAATATGTTTCTTTTGCCACACTTTTCACAAAGTGTAGGAGCAGTTGCGAGATCACAATAGTTCAGGTTGCCTAAGTAAGAACGTAGGGGCTGATGTAGTAAAAACACAATTTTTTCCCCACTTAAATACAGGGTACTTGCAGTTAAAAACATTTAAGACTGTTCAAGCATGTTAAGTTCCCCTCCTTCCTCCATGGTTCAGCTAAGCACTGCATATCACTGTCATCCTGGTCATGACTGCCAATAACGATATGCCTACTTCTCATGTTTGCAGAATCACAAAATTGCATATCACAAAGGTAATTGAACAAGGAAAAATAACTTAAAAAGATCCCACCTGATGACTGTTGCTGGACGGGTGATAATGGGCTAGGGATACCACAGAAGCTATGATAAGTGTTGTGCAGACTTGTAGCTAGGAGCACACAGACACTCAGTAACACATATGTCCATACATGCACGCCGAATTTTCCCGCCTTGCCGGCCGCCATCTTGAATGTAACTTCCACAGAACAGGAAAGAGAAGGTCAATAAAAAGGTTACAACATCCGAGACCACGGTCAAACGAGAGACATAAAAAAAACTGCTTCAGCCAAGTAAAAACTACAGCATCTGATAAAAAGATGGTATAAAGAAAACTAAAATTAAAAGCTGCAAAAGGTCGCAGCGGAATGAACAACACGTCCGTTGTCCGTGGTGGCGCTGTGGTACGCCGTTCTAACTTAGCAAGGACTAGGCCTCAGGCTGAATTTTATTCCTGTAAACTATAAGTAAGTGTGGAATAATAAAGGCAAAATACATTGTACTCACTCCATATCACGTAGGTGTGCTAGCAATTTCTCAGAGACTAATTTCTTACGTGTTGTCGTGATGACACACAAAACTAAACGCGAAAATAAACGGATAAAAAGCGACCACCATGCGCTCAGTATACTCGTACAGTACCAGTAGTACCGTCACTCAACGTGCACGTGTGCCACCGCACCACGTGTTGTTTGAATGCAGTGGGTGTCTGTCCGTGGCCCGCCAGGCCGGCCAGGCAGCGTGAGTTTCTACCTCGCACGGTTAAGGGACGTCGATAGCACGGAGTGCCTGGCTTATCTTAGACTATGACTCAAGTCGGGATCTCTTTTGTGACGTCTTCGTTTCTGCTCTGGATACGTACCGAGACCACGGGCGTATATAAAAACAACTGGACTTGCAACGCCTTTGTATGAAAAAAGAAGCCAACCAGCGGCCATTTTACCGTCACCGAGCCGAATACAAAAGCGTGGGTTGGCTCCCTTCTACTGACGTCAGGAAGAATAAAGGCAGGCACTGCCAGCAGGAGGAAAGCTTTGTATTCGGCTCGGCAAAATGGCTGCGAGTGGATTCAATGACT